GTCTTGTGAAGAAAAATAAAAAGGACAGCAGCGCAGGAATCCCGTGGCACAACACCATGTTGGAAGAGGATTGGCAGGCCAGATGATTGCATTCCATCCACACGCCCGAGTGCAGTATTGTCTTTTGTCGCGGGCATTTTCGCACAGCCTACTGATGCACAGAGCGATAGAGTAATGTAATGGTCCCCTATTGTGTAGAGGCCCTTGCAGCTCTGCTGCGTCAGTGAGGCTCGATTAAGGATCTTAATGGGAACAACTTGGGGATCCATCAACCATTCTCTCCCCACTTTTACTAAAAATTAAAGAAATAGAAACCTCGAAAAACGAGGCGTAGAAAATAGTCGTGGCGGTGTGTAATAATGCGCGAGCTCTAAATTAGGTCAGATGGGTCAATCCGTGAGAGCGAGCGCGATGCCAGTCAGGCATAATGACTCAACCGCGGTGAGGCCAAAATAAAAAGACGTAATCGATCGCCCACGAGCCAAGGGGGTGACAAAACTAACAACTCGCGTCATAAACTGTATTGAGCGTAATGACACGCAAAACAGTAAAAAGAAAATCACGATATCAAAATTTTGGGAGCAATAACCGGCGTTACTCCAAAGCACGGAGTCATTACTCCCTTGCCACGAGATTGTAGCATGCGGGACTTAAACGTCCTCAGTCAAATTCACTAAGTGACAAGACATCATAAACATTACAATTAATTTCGACTCTGGGTTGCCCCTTTGCCCAATTATGAAGGTGGGTAAACAAACGTGGAAGGTGACCCGGGCGTCGACCGAGTGGCCGTGCCCTTGGTGACCCGATGGGATGGGGGAGGAGGCAGACACCATACCTCCTGTCGTCACCGTCTCATCGGCGCGTACCTGGTGGGCTCGTCGAGGAAGAGGACGGGCGGGTTGCTGACCAGCTCAAGGGCGATGGATAGGCGTTTCTTCTCGCCGCCAGACAGGTTCTCGGTCCTCGTTGCAGAAGCGTGCAGCAGGCCTAGTTTGGCTAGAATGTCGCTTATCTGCGGTCAGAAGTGGGCAGTGAAAAAAAAATTGGGGTATTACACTCACAGAAATGATTTTTTCTGATTCGGAGCTTACAACACATGAGGGAATTAATGCGCGCTGGAGAGAACACTGTTCGTTTAATCAAAAATACAGTATGAAGTAGTAAACGTACTCACACTCAGTTTATATCAGTTTTGCAAACCGACTCACATGCGCGAGTCGAGAACAGAGCAGTGCTCCATGGAGGTTTTCGTTTAAGACAGATCAACTTAAATCTATCGCCGCGGTCAGGCGTGTGCTTCGTGCCCGGGGGCCCAGCACGGGCGGGCCGAGGAGGCCGCGGTGGCAACACACGAGAGTGGAATCGAACAGAGGAAAACAAGCGAGTGCGTGGAGCCGTTTCGGGTTCGTGCAAAGTCATGTGGCCCGCGGGGCGGGGACCCCAGTCTCCGCGATCCGGGTCGTGAGTCCGCGGCCAGAGGATATCGCCCCAAACGACGCGCCAAAAGGGTAAGGACCCCCCCCCCTCAAGAAATGACGCAGGTTTTTGAATACGGAGAAAGTTAAGAGATGATTTATCTTACAAATGTTGATGACGTATGGAAGCTTTTGTATACATCTTAATGAGAGATATGGCGAATATGGCACCTACCCGGCGGACACCGGCGTGACAAGTCTTTAGCGAGTATCAGAAACAAGTTCCCTTATCATGTCAGACTATTCACATATTATATCAGACAGCGCTCGTCAGAACCGAAAAGTGGTCCCACCATCTCGCAACTTATTGAGAGTGTCCCGCGGAAGGTGCGGGCGAAGCGCGAGGGCGGGCGCTGAGCTGAGCTCTGCCGCGCCGATGGGTTTTTGGGGTAGACAATGTTCCCGGAACGTCAGTGAGACGCTCACTGATGACAGCCTTTGGGCCCACCATCACCGCCTCGCGTGCGTGTGCTGTTGTGTCAAGGCGATGCGCGCCATGCCACGCCACGCCACGCCACGCCGCGGTACGCCGTGGCCAAAAGAGCTGCGCGAACCTCTCTCGCCTCGAGCAGCCGCCAGGTAAGAAGACCCGGGCTGGGCACGCAGCTTTCTCTGGTCCCTCTCTGTTTCTCCCGCGCGTCTTGTTGTTTTGCCTTTGAAATACTGGTCCGCGCGCGGCCGGGCGGGCCCCGGTCAGGTGGGCGGCGGTGTGCGGTGTGCTGACCGCGAGGTACTCACCACCCTGAGGCGCTCCTGGCGGCTGGTGCCGGTCGGCAGCTTGAGCCGGGCCGCCATGACCATGAGCTCGTGCACGGTGAGCATGGGCTGCAGCAGGTCCTCCTGCGTGATGTAGCGCGAGCTCTTGTAGAAGGTGCGCGGGTCGCGCTGGCAGCCGTTCACCGTCAGCGAGCCGTCCACGCCGCGCGTCCTGCAAGGGAGGTTTCATATATTCGTGAGATTCTTTGGATTAAATTATTCAATGGCACACAGCGAGTTCTTGGGTCGGAGGGGTCTATTCAACAACAGTTTTTCATACATTTCCATATTCATTCTGTCAATAGGTCACTATTCTCAGATACACCACAGGAGGAAGAGGAAAGACGGTGATGTGGAGCAGGCCAAGCAGAGCAGCGGCTGGCGGGCGCGGGGGGCACGCTAATGACGCGCAACGCGCCGGAGATATGTCGCGGTCTGCGGTGGGCCGAGGAGGCGGCGACCTACAGCGGCTGTGGAAATGCACCGCTAATGACCGTGCTGGGGACCCCGGCGGTGGCGCCAGCAGCGGGCGGGTGCCGCGGGGCCGCACCGCCGCGGTGGCGCCCTGCAGCTCCGCCTGCTGCACCTCCGCGCGCGCCCCGCGCCACCGCCGCCACCACCCCGCCCGCACGCGTGCAGCAAGAGGTGGTGGAGTCAGCTGATTGAACTCGTTGCATCCATCCACGACGGCAGCCACTGGGTCGTCGCCGTCGCCAGTCACTACCACCTATTGGTTGTAACCTCGGTTGTAACACAAATTACTCCCCTCCTCATCTCTCTCTTTCTCTCTCGCACACACACACACACACACTCACTCACTCACTCTCACTCTCACACACCGTGACCGACAGACCTCGTGTGGGCCCCGCGGCTTGGCTAGGTTCGGGTCGGTCTCACTCACCAGGCCGGTTCGGTTAGGCCAAAGGCAGCCTGGAGTAGCCAGTCATGAACGTCATGAATGAGATGCCCCCCTCTCCTTTTTCCCCACCTTCACCTCGCGCCGTATGAGGTAACCCTCATCATTTTCCTCGTGTTGTTCCTGTGGCTGTGACAGGGCAAACAGCACCCCATACAGTAACAGCCAAAGAGTCTTAAGCAGGTATCTAGTGGGTACGGATAAATCGAGCATAATATAGTATAACCGAGTATAACTCGACACTCGACTATTTTCTTTAATGCAAGATTTTTGCGCGTTTGGGTCGGAGGTCGGATAGTCGTTTCCAACGAATTCCCAGTTTTATAGTTTGAAGTAAGCCTCTTCTCGGGCATAAGGTGAGGTTACAATCGTGATATGACCTATGATATAACATTTGCCACCCCCTCCCCTCTCTAACACGCACATACATGGGCTTACACGTACACAAACGGTAGACACATGTGAGTGCAGCTAAGCGTGACCGAAAGGAAAATGGTTCCAGTGGTTGACGGCGTTGCGCGGTCACGGCGTTCTCCAGCAGCAACAACAGCCACCGCAGGAGCTCCAGCTGCGGCCCCGCGACGGCACCGGTCAGCCGGTCAGTGAACCATGCGAGTGCCAAGGTGCCCCCCGGCCCCCGGGCTCTGGTCCGCCCCCCTGCTCTGGCTGTGACCGCCGCAACGGAGGACTCCCTACTCCTATGTTGTTCTCCAGGAGCAACAACAGAGCTCCAGCAGCCCCGGACGGCGCCGGTCAGGTGGTCAGTGAACCATGCGAGAGCCAAGGTGCCCCCCGGGGCTCTGGCCCAGACCCCTGCCCTGGCCGCGACCGCAGCGCCTCTTGCACACACTCTGCAAACGTGTTTTCAGGCGTTTGATGTAACGCATTTGTGAGTGTGGTTGCACTGCACTCACGTACCCTCGATTTACGATTCTGTCAATTGTAAATTACAAAAATAAAATATATAAAGATGTCCTGCTCAACTAGAGCAATCCAGAAGACTCACGTGAGGCCCGAGAGAGCGTTGAGGAGGGTGCTCTTGCCGGCCCCGGACGGGCCCAGGATGGCAGACAGCTCGCCACTCTTGAAGCGGCCGGACACATCGTGGAGGATCGTCTTCTGGGGGCCTGTGGATCAGAGAGGCGAACAGGCACATGAGTTCAGCGAGTCGTAAACGGGGCCGTAAAAGCGTCACTTTTAGCTGGCTTTCATTGGTTTGTTGAGGCACTTCTTTTAGCTGCCAGTTCCAGGGAATGAAAACGGCATTGCAGAGAAGTGCACTGGACTGAATGCCCGTAGTGCAAGCAGTAGTCACAGGTCACCGAACCCATCAAATTCTTGAGAGCAAGGAAGGAATAAGTAAGTGTACAGTGTTTTACGACGGGGGAAAAATGAACATTGGCTAACTCTCAAGGTCCAGTAGTAGATGTAAATTGCGTGTGTGATAATAAAACTAAAAGCCAACTGCGAGAAGAAAAAATATATTATATAACACCTATATTAAAGGTGCTACTAATGCCTTTAGGCACTAAAAATTTATAAAAGGAAATTTGGTGGTGTCATTAGTAGCGCTTCAGTGAAGGTGCTATTTCACTAACGCCTCTGAAAAGGCATTGGGTTCTTTTTCCAGTGATCTTTCTCCCGTAGCGCCTGTCGTGCGCGAGGTAGGCGACCCGCCAAGCACCCGTGCAGCGACGCGGCCTACCTCGCAGACTACTGGCCGCCGGTTGGTCCATGCCCCGCAGCTCACCATGAGATTAAGCCAAAGGATGGGAGGCGTAATTCCGAGATTTTCGAAGGATTTGTCCGCGTCGTCGTTTCATTACTTGAATTCCTACCGCAGCGGGCACAGGCCACACCACACCAACCTCCTCCCGCAAACGGCGTGTGACTCACAAGGCGTTATAGCCGCGCGCACCGGCCAACCGGTACGGGACGTTTCCCATGACTGCATAGCATCACACCTGTGCGCGGCCGTACAGGCCTCTGTCAGACCGGCGTCGCGTCAGCCCGCCTGCAGCTGGCCGGGACCCTCTAGATTGGCACGCGCGAGGGCACATGCAGGCGTGCCACGGGCGTGCCACCGGCGTGCCCAGAGCGCAGGCGCAGGAGGCGATGACTCCTGCGTCCAGCCGCCCGCTGACCCGACCCGGCCGGGCGGTGATCCGCGTGAGGTTCGTTCTCGTTGCAAGAGCGAGATCCAGAGCGCGCAGAGGGGTAATTATTGGGCCCCGACGCCGAAATGCGCCGAAGAAAAGCGCGTACAATGTTGCTTAATTGTTAGGTAGCAAATAGGCTTGGTTTGTAGGCGTCCGGCACCCGGCGGCACCTACAGTCTATGAATTACTTCAGGAATTAGTGTGCGTGATGCGCGGCCGGCAAGTGTGGACATTTCGAATAATTGCAAAGGAACACGAAGAGTTGTTTTTGTATTTTTTTTGGTTGTTTTTTTTTTTTTTTTTTTTTTTTTTAATCTGCGGCGTTCTGAGTCGTTTAGAGGTGGTGTATAGAGCCTTCAGAAATGTATTAGCTGTAACAAGCACTAAAATGAAATAGGCTTCTTTGGTGTTTACATATCAGGGCCGTATTATTGTTGTAGATATTGTTAGTCTGCAAGCTGAGGCGCCAGTAGCCAGACCATGTCACCGATCGTCTTGCCGATAGAGCCTGACGCACGTGTATCGTGGCCGGCATCGTGCCAGCTGTGTTTATCAGACCGCGCGGCCCCTGGACCTTCGGTGGAACCGTGAGTTGAGTGACTTCATCTGCCTCAGAGTGTTCAAAAGTTTTGAAAACTCGACCGCTAGCGGCGGGAGCTCCCAGGATTTTTCTAAAAAAAAGGTAATTCCAGCGCGGCCCACTTGGCCGGCGTCAGCGGCGACGGGGAGCTATTAGATGTCGCCACGCAGGTTCCCACATCCCCGTCGTCGCCGCTAGAGGTGGCGCGCTAGCGTTGCGCAAAGGGCGAGAGTCGAAATACTCATAGATGTGATTGCCACCTGACCAGCGATCAATTTTGTCAACACCTATTCTGAGCTCAAGTGCGATGGTGCCCGATTACGTATATATCCGCGCTGCAAGTGCAGTCAGAGAGCAAGTGGCGGCCAGACTAATGCCACCACTGTTTAAAATGATGTCGTAAAAAGAAAAATATCATGGCATAACGTATTTCTTTGTCATCCACAAACACATTGTAAATAGAGGTGACAAACAAATCTTCAACATGACGCCGCCTGTAAACAAAAATAACCATGATATTATTCTTTTAAAGTTTTTTTCAGGGGGTATTTACATATTTGCACTCATCTCGCTCAGGCTCAACAGGAAGAAGACTGAATTGAAATCAGAATGATATGTGCTATTTGTGTTGGGGAAGTCGTCGGGTCATCAGATCATCGAGTTGCAGCTAAAAGCTCCGCGGGCAAGTGTGTCTTTTTTTGTTACGTTTAGTTAACAGGGAGCACTGTGGAAAATAGTCGTAGGGTTTTCGGGGGGAAAAGTTCTTGATTAACAGGTCTATAGCTTCGAGCTCAAAAGTGAAGGTGGCCTGAAGACCCCGGACCACATTTTAGTCTATTCATTGCTGATCCTCGGCGTGCGGTGGAGTGGTCGTGGTCCGGACTAGAGTGAAAGAAGTTCTGCACAACTGTGAAAAAGTGTGTTCAGTCTTGCGAACCGCTGGGAAACTTGTTTAACAATGAGGCCGAAATAACTCCCAAAATAATTGCAAAATTACGAATAATTAACTGCGGTCGCATTATTTGCGCTACAAAAAGAAAAATGTATCAAAAGTAATAGAGGAGTGTAAATTACGAAAACTGTGTTAATGCTGGCGAATTTGGACACATCTATGCACTACTAATTGAAGGAAAACAGTAAAAAGGAGTGCAGCGACTAGCCCGCTGACAGACGGAGTGGGGAGGTGGGAGGGGACTGGATAGGTAGCTGCGGGCGGGCTAGTCTACCTTTTTAAAAGAACGGGGCAAAGCGGCCACCCTGTATATAACTTACTCACTAAAAATAGAGTGGCGTCTTTTGCAGCAAAATTTTGGTGCTCTTTGAGAGAGAACGCAAAATATTGGTGTCTTTGAACACTGCAAAATTTGTGTTCTCTCGAGGAACACCATTTGGTGTCTTTAGACGCCAACATTTTGTGACTTTGAACGCCAATATTCTGACGTCTAAAGACGCCAACCAATTTTCAGTGCTGCATAACTCAAAAGTCATATTTCCCCATCTTAGGTACTCCGGGGTACACACAGCCGTATAACACCAAAACCCAAAACAACTGAATTTTACTCCCAAAGTGTTTTTACTCTCTCGAGTACAATGTTCATTAACGAGCCACGCATTGCGTGCGACAATGCGCAAGCCCCGTTCCTTCCCTCCATCTTATCTGCACTTCCCAAAACAGGGCGTGAGACAACCGGGTTACGCTGGGGGGGTCGGGGGGTCGTGGGTGGGCCAGTGGACCACAATGCTGTCTCTGGACGCCGGGCACGGAAGCTACGTCGCATCGCAAAGGAAGCAAGAGAAGTCTGAAGTAACGTAATAACGGCCGTAGAGACAGTGTTGGCTTTAACACATTAAGTCACAGGTAGGCACATGGTGTGGTATGCCCATGATTTGCTCACTGTGAATTTTTTCACGGGGAAATTTTCTATTGTAAACTTACCATTTTAAATTATAAATTTACAAGCACTTTGTATCGACTCAGAATTGATCGACCAGTGCAAATTGCAAAATATTTTGTAAACAAACAGTAAAACAAATGTTTTAAAATTACGGGGATATTTTTCACGGTGGATAGTAAACGTGACCGCAATCTGTCTAGGACTCAACGTGTTAAGTGGAACAAAACGACTACCTCTTCATCGCTCCGCCGGTAAAACCGACCAAAAACTGTCCCCTGCTGATGCTGGTGGAAGAGTTCAGAGAGATTGAGGTATTCGTGGCAATCGCACACTTCTATTGCTAGCACCAGGAGGGGGCCTCACCAGGGTTCACCGACCCGATATAGCAAATGGCAGTCTTCGGCTGGAGCAGCCGAGGCAGCGAGCTTGCACAGCCAACAGCAGTGATTTCCCACCGTAAAATGACCGCAAACTATATTCTTTGCAAGCAGTCGGAATTCTTGCACACTGTGCAATGAAATAGTTTGCAAGCGTACGAAGAATTAGTTACAAATGCTTCAAAATTCTTTGCAAGCTGCAAAGAAAATGGTTTGCAATACGAACCTATTCTTTTGCAGTGTCCGTCTCACCTCCGCAATCATCGCGACCAACCCCGGCCGAACGCGGGCGAGAGCGTCAATATTCAACGAAGAACTTACGCTTACGCCACGCTCAGCGCAGCCTAGCGGAAAGCACCCTGCTCCCCTCCCCTGAGCAGTTCACGTCACGCTCACGTAGGCGTTGCGGCCACGCTTCGGCGAGCGTGCGGCGCGTGGGCGCAAGTTCCTAATTGAATATCGCTCTATTTGGCGCGCTCAACGCTACCCTCAGTGACACGCGCCGGGGGGGGGGGGGGGGGGGGGGGGGGGGGGGGCAGCGACAACAACCAGACGCTGCTGAAGGAAGAGACCACAAACGCCACTCTCGGATAACTTGTCGTGATAACAGTCTCCGCGAACACGGTTGACTCTTTTGTCCCCCCTCGGGGCGACACATACGGCAGGAGAGCGTTGTTCCGTGCCGCTGTTACCTGACCAACCACCTCTCCTGCGCTTCCCACAGACAAGGCGAAGGCGAGCATTGCACTGCGTGCGTGTGTGAACATTAATTGATGATCAGCTTCTGTTTTGTCTGACCTTGCAAGTCAGCTATGGCATGTTGATCTTTCCGTGTCCCAGCGTAGTGCATAGTGCATCTCATTCAATTAAGACACTTTTACATAAGTGCCTCATTTGGAGGCACGGTGTGTAGAGCCAAGTAGATAGCAAAGCCAGTGGCAGGAGCCGTAGTGTATTGGTTTCGTATGACCCGCGCATATGCCTTTCGAGATCATGAAAGGTTATCTGGTCCAAAGTGCAACTTCTCGATGGAAATATTTACCCTGGCATAGACTCTACCAGACAGAAGCCGTTATTTTTGTTATGAACTGAAATCTGATTCTATTCTGCTCGCACAACATCGCCGTTAAATTTCAAAGTTTACACTGGAAACGCATGTATGTGTGTTTCCTTTGAAAACTCACACATTTGTACCTCCATGAGTACGAATGGCGTTCACACACGTAACGTTACAAGTGCCCGACATTCACACACTTGGATATCCGCGGCGTATAATATTGTTATTGACTGAAATAATTGTAAGCTTTGTATCCAGCCCTCTATTTCCTTCATCGACCTTCGCCTTTGACAATGTTAGAGTAAAAAAAATTAAAATTCCTCAAGCCCCATAACACTCCCCCCCCCCCTTCAAAAAAACACAATCTGTGACGAGCGCGAAATCCGTTGATGGTTGATTGACCGTGCAGCTAGCTGCCTCTGGCGGTACTCTGTTCTCAGCAAATTGAGCGCTGAAGCGGGCTTAATGAGGCCTGCTCCAGTCGCCCCGCCCGGGGTGTGTGGATCGGTCCCGCGCGGCACGCTACCCCATCGAAATGCTATTTTTATCCGACATTTCGACTTCTCTAGAGACCCCTCATGCCGGGGTGCACAATGCGCAGACGGGTATGCAAATTGCATATTACGAAGCACATTAAAATGAGCAAAAGGACAACGTACCTCCGATCCTCCAGGAGCGCGGTTTGTACGACAGGTTTTGGAAACCGACGTCCATCGTGGTCGACGCCTTCGTCATGGTGCTCACTTGTTTCGCGTATCCACTTATTTCGTTACACTTATCACAGATCACTGACTCAACCACTATGTTCACATTCACTTTCTGTAGTTCGCCAGAGTATATCCGGGGAAGGGAGTGTGCGGGCGTAGACGGGGAGATGGTGGTGCGCCGGGGGGGTCGTCTGCCGTCGGCGTCCTGGAGGCGCCTGCCGTGCCGGCGGTGCTGCCCTGGCTCGGCTCTTGGCGCCGTGCAGCTGCAGCACCGTGCAGCACGCCGTGCAGCGGGGAGCGGGCGGCGCGGCGCGCGGTGCGGAGGCAAGTCCGGACTGACAGCTCCGAGTGAGGTGAGGTACGGCCCTCCACGCGCCCCGGCACGGCGCGGCACGACGCGGCCGGCAACCCACCCCGCCCCACCCCGTCCCGCCCCTCCTCGCCCCGCCCGCCCCGCCCGCGGAGTGGGGAGAAGAGAAGAGCTCACCTGCTTTGACGTGCCGGGAGGGCACCGGACGCCGGGCCGGGGTGGTGGTGGGCGGCTGTGGGGGTTTGCAGATTCCAGCCTTACCTTATGGGATCAGGGATCGGCCAGGAAGTACTTCCGTTTTTCTCAGATGTGTTCAGCAAATTTACGGGAGCTCGGCGCCTGCGAGACTCGGGGTAGGCCACCCCGCAGTACACGCATGTCACGGCGGGCAAGATGTTGCCTAGCCATCAGGCGCCATGAGAGATCGAAGGGGCCGGAAGGGGCTGAACTTGGCAGTTATTGCTCAACAACGAATGACAGACGTACTTTCTAGGTGATCTCTAACGTCAGCGAAGGATCCCACCTCGTCGCGCCATTCAAAGGCTGGCCTGGGCAAAGGATGGCCATCATCGTCTAGTTCCTCGAAACAACCCCTCGAGTTAACCCCTGTTTGGAAGATAGCGCAGAACGGTGAACACGAAACACTAAGATGGGGAGCGAGAATGTAAACATGATGCTTAACCATCGGTACCCACGACCCCTTCCAGCTTGAGTACATTTCAAACTGCATTTGTCGTCATATCTCTGCTTTGACGTATGCAGCAGCATTTCACAGTTTCTTTTTTTGTAAATACATTTGGAATGGTTTACATAGTTTTTATCGATGAATGTCATAACTGTGTGCGCAATCACGAATGTTGACTGTGATCGCCTTAAACCTAATTTTATGGCTCCTAGCTTGAGCAGGTGCTCGGACTTGGGGTTCATTGCACTCGTTGCAGGCGACCACCGCCAAGTATACGACCTACTACTATCTAGCTGTGAATGACGCCGCGCACTGCTAATCCGCAGTATAAATCTGTAAATTGTAGCGTACTCTGTGGCCTTCAGAGAAAAAGAGGTGAAAGTAAGTGTGTATTTTTCTTCGATTTCAGGCCAAATAAGTCCGATTGATGGCGGGGGGTTTATGAAGCAGATGCGGCTTACCAATAACCACGCGCGCCTCTCCGATGTCGAGTGTTCCAAGTCGGGCGGTTCACGACCATACCGACCTCCCACCCCGCACTAAAGAAAAGACTGTGTCGCGGTGAGCAACATCTGTTCGATAGACTTGAGTCGATAGCTGCAATCGAAAATCCGACGATTACAACCAGAAGTAGATGGTTAGTCGCCGTCGCCAATACAAAGCCTTTTTTCGACAGTCCCCAAGACTATCTATACCGAGAGTAGAGGGCGCGTTTGGTTGTGTCGTACAAAGTGTTTTTATTTCTTGAAGCTATGGCCCACGAGCCCGCGGACCATACCACGCGGTCGCGGCTTTTTGCCGCCGCCCCCGCCCCGCCCCGCGAACGCCACTGCATCCCCTGACGTAATCTGCGAAAACGCAGCCCACTTCCAAAGAAATAAAATAAAATGCAGCGACGTCGCTCATGGCGGAGCCTTATGCTGCTGGCAGGCCTGGCGCGTGGGGTCCCTGGGTCCCTGCACCTTGAAACCTTGAGAGTGTCGAGTGTCGCCCTAATGGCGGGCCACAGGAATTGGTTAACTTTACATCAATTAAGTAGTCGCGACTTCAAATGAGAGATGTCGTATGTAGACGAAACGCTTGTTGTTTCTTCGTTGAGCTCGCGGAAGGAAAACGTTTCACGGGCCATAATGATAAAGTTACCAACAGGATGTTTGATGGCGCATTCAATGTTTAACGTTACTCGATAACTTCTTGTGGTCCTGCACACACACAAAAGAAAGCGTTTTCTGATTTACATTTCTGACAAACATAAGGGGGAGGTGGGCACAAGTGCATGACGCGCAAATTTTGCAGATCATTTAGTAACTTGTAATCGACGCCTTTGTAATCGGGTGTGTCTGTGTGTGCGTATGGAGCAGCAAACTGGTCACGCTGGCCGCCGGGGCTGGCTGCCGCCACCAGGGTCGTCGCACCGCCGCCGCTACTTACGTGAGAAGCAAGCTGCTTTCGCGGGCAACATGAGACAGTTTGGCCGCGGCCCCACTCACTCACCACTCGGTCCGGCCGGCCGAATCCATTGTCCTTCGGGGCCCAGCAGTGTGAGAACACGGGACACCCACCGCACCACTCGGACAAAGACACTGCCGGGGTGGGGCG